GGGGATGGGCCCGGAGGACGGTTAGAAGGACCAGGGTCCTGTGGGCCCTGGGCCCTGGTAGGGAGAGAGACAGAAAAGCTCAGATTTTCGACCAGCTCCATCATACGGCGTATGATCCCGAATTGCGTGTCCTGAGTACGTTGGACGTTGTCTATTTCCATGAGAAGAAGGTCGGCGACTAAAGACGAGAGATGTCCACGCCACGCAGGTTCAGTAATGCGAGCTTTGCCTTGAGCTGGGAGAGATGGAGGGGATCCTTCAATCTTCTGTTGTGAGAGCATGCGATTCTCTCCTTCTTCCATAGCTGGTTCCTTCCCGTGTTTGCTGCGTGATGGTTCTCCTACCACGCGTTCGATCTCCTTCCAGATCTTCCTGTTTTCTTCCTCGGTTCTTGCCTGATGCTGTCTGTCGAGTTCCTCCATCTTGGAGTTAATGATTCTCGTAATTCGAGCTTCCTTCTCAGCTTGCCGCGCCTCTTCCTCCTCAAGTCGCTTTCTCTCTTCCTCCTTGTCAATCCTGCTTTGTTCCTCCTTTCTTCGTCGTTCCTCCTCCTCACGCCTTCTATCCTTCTCTTCCCTTCTATCGTTGATAAGTTCCCGGAGTAGCGAAACCACCTCACCGTCATGGTTCCGTTGACGTGGTACCCAAGGTACAGCAGCCGAGACCGGCATGGAGTTGGGGCGAAAGGGAACAATCGCATTCGAGGTGGAGGAAGTTGGGGAGGAAGAGCGTTGCGGAGAGGGCGCAGGGGGGGCTTGGGAAAGTGGAGGCGCCGAGGGGGCATATACTGCCTGAGCATAAGTTTGAGTAGGAGGATAAGCAGGAGGTTGTCCTACCGGAACCCCAGCGATGAGACCATCCTGTCAGGGGTAGGGACAATTGCGGGCGAAGTGTCCCGACTGTCTATAGTTGTAACACACCCTATCATTAGCAGGAAACGGTGCTCCGTCAGCCATACTTAGAGAGTAGCAAGGGCAGAGAAAACAAAGATACTAATGCTAACCACCCTGTCAGTAGGAAGAGAGGGGAGGCGGCGTAGTAGAGCCTTGGTAAAGCAGCAAAAGCAGCCAAGAAAACACGTCTGAATCTCGATTGGTTCACCAGAAGCTGGGCGGATCGTAAGACGAAAGTGGATGACAGATGCCATAAAAGTAGAAGATGGTGCTGAAAGGAGCAAAATTGGCGGCGCGATTGAAAACTGCGATGTAGGGTTGGGACCAACAAAAGTAGATCAGGGCCGTGAGCCAGATGCGCCTACACCCGACTGCGATTAACGAAGTGGTTAAGACGTTGTCGTGTGCTTCGGCCCTCGCGTGAAAACGAGGGCCCTCCCGGCCATGTCACGCAGGAGTTTACCTAAAAACATAACTTTTAGAGACAACTCGGGAACGACTCATACTGTTCCGTGAACCGCCGAGACGGACGCGGTTGCTTCGCTCCTTCGCCGCTCTAGCCGGATGCGCCAGCTATATATCCCACGGTCCCCTACGATAGGACAGGTTCCCGCGGGGCATAAGCTTGAATCCCTAAGGGGTTGTCACCACCCTTAGGGGCGTATCCCTACCGAGCTACTGGTCCACGTGCGAGAGCAGGTTAACCGAGCACCCATTTTTCAGACCCATTTATAAGAAAACCAGACAGTTATTTTAACAACACTTCACACCAATCTATAGAGTGCACTTCTTACGACTTCATCACAGAAACAAACCCTAAAAAAAACAATTAAAAACATATAGAACAACAACCCAAAGGTGCATTTCCATGAAATTTGGGCCAAAAAAAACTCGACCAATTTCAGAAATTTCAGAAATCTTAATAGCGCAAATTCTAAAACTCCAAATAACCCCAAATTTCATATATGGCAACCCTATCAAAATTCATAYATAGCAAAAACTTAAAATTCCAAAAAAACATGAAATTTGAGCCCAAAACCCTAATTTCAGAAATTTCAGGCCGCAAAACCAGATGCCCTGTTAACCTCTTGTGGAGAGAAGGTTAATCGAGCACCCATTTTTCAGGCCCATTTATAAGAAAACCAGACAGTCATTTTAATAACACTTCACACCAATCTATAGAGTGCACTTCTTACGGCCTGAAAACCAGATACCCCGTTAACCTCTTGTGCGACGTGCGAAGGTTTTTATGTGCAATCGTAGAGGTAGATCAGCCGAGGGCGTTTGCTCGTCTCGCTGCAGTATAGAAATTGTTTGACTAAACGTCGAATGAACCCGTGCGTCGTTCGTTCCATGGGGCACTGATCTCCCAAGTACGAAGCGTACGCCGGTCGACTAGGACAGTCTCAACCAAACGTGAAAACGATCCTTAGTCCCTAGCAATCAAACAGCAAAAATCCCCATACATAAAACAAAATCACACAATCCAAATCGTTGAGTTGACGAGCTGGTCTGCAAAAATATCTCCTTTCCAACCTGTATGACTGAAATAACTTTTATATTGTCGTTCTGAGATTATTAATTTAAAAAAATAAACTAAGAATGATTTTATTATCATGACTACTGAAAATTTGTCATGAATAACTTTTGTAAGTAAATATCACTTGTACCCTGCAGATCAATAAGTGATCAGGTTCCTGGTCTTTGTTTAAACTCCCGGTTCGACCACGTTTCCGTACCATATACAACTATTTGGATGAGCAAATGACAACTTTGTTGGTCACTTTGCCCTCCTGGACAATAATTACTCTTTCTGTTCCACGAATGATGGAGTATCCATCTCTAATGCCAAGTTACGCAACGCAAAAATATTTCATCTTCCGCTGCTTTGCTTGACAACTTTTTCAGACGTTCGTTTTTTACTCTATCCAGCTTGTTTTTATGCGAACGATTACCCCTCAATGCATAAGCACGACAGTTAAATCATCGGGGTAATCTGAATACTATCCATCCGGCGGTCCTAACTACATAAAGTGTTTTGTTTTTGTTTTTAGATTACCTCGTGAAACCATAAGTTATATGGTTTCCTCAACGGGATTGAGTCCATGCCAAGTGTTTTCTGAAATCTGAGTAAGATTTCCGAAGACGATGTCTAATCCTGGTAAATCTCTCGCCCGCCTCGCACCTGTGCCTCCAATAAATCCAAACGTGACAGCTCGTCGTCGTCGAAAATCAAAGTATACCTCCGTCCACATCGCATGATGCTAACAATCCGAGTATTATAGAAGGAGGCCATCCGAGAGGCTAGTCTCCAAACTATAACTCGGAGAGGTCGACTAAGTCCAAACAGGTGTCGAGTCTCTGAGTCCCGGATCCGGACGACGCCGAAACACCTACCGGACGAGGTAATCTTGATACTCACAATGACTCGAGAGAGACATTGGAGGTTACTCGCGCGGTGGAAATACAAAGTATAATCGTACAGCTCATCGGAAGTTCGAGCCGTGTTGACTCTGAAATCCGCGCGAGTATTAGGAAAAAATCCCTCGCCACTTCGAAGCAGTCCAATGAAGCCGAACCAGTAGATAGGAGATCCATCTCGTACTCGTAAAAGTCATGCTGCACTCCTGATGAGATCCTCGTCGGGTGTATCGCGAGCCAGCAGATACCTCGGGATTGTCAAGTCTCGTCGTGCTCCAGGTATCTGCATATCAGAACGAATCCAAATTAGTCGCGTAAAAACTCCTCGAGTTCTTCAGCTTCATCTTCCAAATCATCATCATATAATGCTTCGGGTCCTATAATAGTGAACCTATTGGCACGTATCCGCTCTGCGTAGTATATGCCAAAGAATGGGCCTTGTCGCTTATTTAACCAAAGCACGTAACGAACGAACGTCAACCTTATTTTTGGGATCTCGTCCACCCGTGGATTGAGTTTGTATGACTGCAATATCACCAAGTTCATATTAACGAAGTGACGTTCGGGCAATGACGGTGCGAACTCGTAGTGAATAACATCCAAGCCGGTCGGTCTTCTGAAAATAAGTCGTCTGGGGGGTCTCTACGCACTGCCATCCCCAAACCGTGGAACGTCCTCCTCTGAGTACAGCTCTGATGGGTTATAAACAAGTCGGCGTATCCTTTCCTCTCTTTCTCCATTACGCCTTTGAATTTCAACCCTTTCGGCCGCCGAATTGCGGTCGTAGAAAAGGAACAAGTCCATGGATCCCACAGCAATCTGAAAGAAAAAGGAAGTCGAATGTGATCAAGTTAAAACTAAGTATCACTTAAAACATTTGTCTTCCTTCTGGCCCGTGCTTCTTATGACTCGACCAACCTCGTCAGGAGTATCTAAATGTACTCCGTTCAGCTAATGGAACATGAGTCGGGCTGCTTGTGGCGCCAACGCTCCATACGTTAGTGGTACCTAGGATGACCACTTAAACAGGATTGCTAAGGCTGTTTTCCTTTTTCGCAAGGCGTCAAGAAATAAATTTTATTCCGTGTGGATGCCTTTTCCATTACCCTAAGAGGTGGTCTGGGATACTCCTTCTCCTCGCCCGAGTACGAAACTCGGATCTCAGAAGTCGGGCCGTCTCCACCGAATCGGAATAGTACCCCCCCGCAAAGCGGTCCACTCTGAGTCGATAACAGGGCCGATCCCTAAGGCAACGAACCCCCGCCCCAGATGCCTCCTAGAAAAATGGAAAAACACCTACACGGCAAACAATTAGAGTCTTGCCGCCTAGCGTCAAAATAAACTTAGACGAAGAAAGAGGAATCGTAGAAAGATAGAATCATTCAGACTGAGAGGCATAGATGGAAGAGGGTTATTCGGGAAAGAATGGGTAACCCCGGGAATAAGTCTAAACCAAGTTGAATTTCTCTTCCTTATGCTCACTTCGTTTCTTGTCGTCTTCTTTTTCTTTTATTTATACACAGAACACAAGCACAAAGATGAAAAGTCAACCATTCTTTCACCGTCATTACCCTCATCCATTTCAGTCCATTTGTCGTACCTGCAGTCAAAACCCAACGACACACAGACCACCATGCATTCCTTTACCATTGTCAGACTCCCAGTCATACACGCAAGAACACACATCCTCTTCCCTTTTTCAATGAACATTCAGTGAAACAGGTCAAAACAAGTGTGGGCACACTCAGATGTGAAGGGAACTGAGTCAATTTAACTGACCTTGAGTGAAGTTTTAACGGTACACCCAAGAAGACCGTATAAATTTTACGTTCTCCTGACGAGAAGATTGTCGTACCCAGTCGTCACCAAAGTGATCGACACCACTCCCTTGTGACGACGCTCCCTAGTGCTCCCTCTCAGCACTCAATCACTTTTCACTAATTCAGGCGGTGTTTTCTAGTTACCGCCACTTGCGTCCAAAGTATATTGTCTCCGCGGTGTCACCCTCACATCACTTCAAAATGGAAACACCGCTTTGACGCACCTCCTCTGCGTCAACGTCCCACCTCCACCTAGTGCACTGATACTGTCGTTACTGTCGTAAAGTAGCGCCGTCACTTGCAAGAATATGATACTGACGCTGCAAAAAAATTCCAGCAGCACTCCCGCACTACCGCCGTAAAAACCGGAGTTGCCGCCGTAAAAATCCGGCAGCGCTTTTGCACCACCACTGAAAAAAACAGAACCGCCGCCGCGAAAACCCGGCAGCGCTTCCGCACCACTTCTGAAAAAAGCAGAACCGCCGCCACGAAAATTCGGCGGCGCTTTCGCACCACCGCTGAAAAAAACCGTGCCGCCGCAGTAGAATTTCGGCAGCACTTCAGTATCACCGCAGTAAAAGCACGTGCCGCCGCAACAGAATTTCGGCAGCACTTCTGTACTACTGTAGTAAAAGCACGTGCCGCCGCAGCAGAATTTCGGCAGCACTTCCGTACTACCGCAGTAAAACCCGGGGCCGCCAC